GAGGTAGGCTAGATGGTAGGCTTCATGAAGGCAGGAATTGCTTTCACTTTTGAGAAAGTAAAATTGAAAGTAAAAATGAAATGCACAAAAGTTTTTACTTTTGTAACCCCTGTACCTAGCACGTAGTAGGTGCTTAATAAATGCTTGTTAATTGATTGATCAAATCTGTGGAAATAATACATCATCACAATTATTATAGCCATCTTGGCTAATGACTAGTGAGATGCCAGTGTCCAAAATACCTAATTCTATCTCGCCCAGGAAAACAACTCTATCTCTGATTTATTCCCTGACAGCTCTTCAAAACAATAAAACCTCTTTCAGAATAAGAATTCCCTGTTTCTTGGGAGAGGTGACGCATTGTACAAGATGGGGCATCAGGAGACCCAAATTCTGGTCCCAGCTCTCTCGATGGCTAGCTGTGTGACTTTGGGGAAATCATTCGGGCTCTCTGGGGTTCCATTTCTTTGTCTATAAAAGATCTAGATGATCTCTTAAATTCCCTTCCAGGTTAAAATTTCTTCCCATTTGTTCGTTGCATGTTATGTGTTCCCACATATCTTAAGTCAGGAAATTTAATGTAACTTAATTCAACTCAGTCCAATCTAAAGAGATAAAAAACAAAATTTAAGCATCTAATTCAGGAAGGCACAAAGTTTAACTAAGACAACTCTTGCCTTTAAGAAGTGTACAGTGGACTGAGTGAATATTCTCAATTATAACAGTTTGGGGAAAAGGGAGGAATCATTGGAGGAAACAGGGACTTGTTCTCCTGTGCATGCAGTTAACTACAGCCTGAACCCTGAAGTTACTGGGGCTGGAGTCAGAAATCCTAAATTTAAATCTGGCCTCAGACACTTACTAGCTATGTGACCCAGGACAAATCACTTTAACCTCTGTTTACCTCAGTTTCCTCAAAATGGGGATAATAATAAGAGCACCTTACCTCCTTAGGTTGTTGTGGGACAAAAATGAAATAACAATTGTAAAGCATCTAGCTGAATACCTGGCACATAGTAAGCACTATATAAATGTTAGCTATTATTGTTATTATTATTAGAGAATATGCTAAAGAATGATAACAAATTCTATATAGATCACTTAAATAACACCTTTAAACAATTCAAAGCAGGCGGCTGTAGGTAATTCACCAAATACATATTGAGCATCCACCAAGTACAAAGCACTGGGTTAATCTCAGTTCACATAGATCGGTGAGACAGATCAATGCGGTAAAACTTTCTTGGTTGTGAGTTGGTGCTAATTCAGAGAGGCCCTTAGGCTAAAGTTCTGTTTGCTCTATCTACAGATAAAGGATTTGCTAAGCAAATGACTAAGGTTGTGGGTGGCCTGGTTTAACTTTCTTAAAAGAACAGACCTTTTGAAGTGATAATTTACATTCTGATTGTGTTCATAGGATAATAGATTTAGAGCTAGAAGGAAGTTTATAGGTCATCTATTCTAGCCCCCTCCCCCATTTTAAAGATGAAGAAACTGGGGCTCAGAGAAATTAAATGACTGGCTTATAACGCCAAACAAATAACATATTGAAAGAGCTCACATTTGAATCCAGATCCTCTCTCTTCAGGATGATATTTGCGTAATGGGGGATGGTCTGGTGCAGAAGCAGACCCCATCACCTCACCTGGCTGATTCAACCTCTCTATGTAAAGGTTAGGCGCCTGCTTTCAGGGGGCTTGTCAGAGGGCTTTCAGGTATGAGCATTTTGTAACTGGATGCTGGTCAGGTAACCACCTGGTGAATGGGAGGCTTTTTGATTAGTATGGAGAAACCTGCTTCTGGCCTCCTTCTGTAACTGTCCCTCGAACGAGTCCCTTTGGGCTACTCCATTCCTGCAGGTATGATTTCTTTGCCCACAGTATCTAATGAAGGACCATGCTGACAGGGAACAGACCATGTGACTTTCTTCTCTATGATGCCGTGTGGTCCAGAAAGGCAGGCCTCCCACTTTTGCTTCTGCTTTTGTTCTTTTCCATTCTAGTTGAAAGAAAGAAGAGTCTGACCTTGAGTTTTGAAAGTCTGGAAGGCATTTAGGAACACCCATTCCAGAGTCTGGGTTTCAAGACAAGAAAAGACCTTCAGAACCTCAGCCCAGCAGTGGCTGAAATGAGGACTACCTTCATCTCAAGATGGTGCAATAGATAGAGCACTCTGCCTGGAGTAAGGAAGAAGATCTGAGTTCAAATCCAGACTCAGACACTTCCCAGCTTCGTGACTGTGGGCAAGTCACTTAATTTCTGCCTGCCTTGGTTTCCTTATTTGAAAGATGAGGCTAATAATGGCACCTACCTTACAAGGTTGTTGTGAGGTTCAAATCAGATAATTTTTGTTAGACTTTTCATAAATGCTTCCATCACCACCACACTCCATCCCTACCCCCACCTCCACACCCTTTATCCAGAAGTCATACCGCATATGGTCATGAATTTGGTTGGACCAAGGATATGTGGGAACTGAGCTAAATTGAGTCTACTCCCCCCCACCGCCAGAGACCAAGGTGGTATAGGAGAAAGCATGACTCCTGGCACTTGGGAAAATGTTTGTAAATTTGGCCCTACAGTTTAAAGATGCTGGAACCAGGGAGCTAATCAGTGATTCCAAACACTGGGGAGAACTCAGAGGGTGGGGGCTCCAGCCAATGGCAAACAACAGAAAAGACACCCTCAACTCCTGAAGGTGACACTATAGACCCCTGAGAGGCAAATGTAACAGGCCTGGCTATGACTTGAGAGCCAGAGTATTGGCTACATTTGTTAAAGCAGATCTCCAAAGATCTTGGCCTTGGATGATAGCTAAGTTTTCTACCAGGTCTAAAATTCAATGACTTTATGACCTCTATTTGCAAATACTTTGCTTAGTTGTACTGTATTTGAAAGTAATACCTCAGCCTTCCTTTTAAATATATTCAGTAACTCAGTCTTTTCATTATTTCAGGAAAGCTTTTCTCCAGGTAGTCCTAATTTGCATTTCATTGGTCAAGGACAGAGAGTCAGATATATCTGGGGCTGGGATTCAGGCTTCTTAATTCCAGTTCCTTCTTTTCTGTTGCTGCTCACCAGATCTCTGTGCTTTCTGAGAACTACTTAAGACACTGAAAAAAGAGAAGGAAAGATGGGAAATGTCTTTCTTTTTCTTTTTTCTTTGAAGTGTACTTTTAAAAAAATGTACTTAGCCGCCCACAAGAAAGCAAGTACTGAGTTATAGATTGCCTAAGAGTGCTGGGCAGGCTGATGAGTTTAGTGGAATCTGGGAAGGAGGTGTAATAAATTGTCTTGCTTTCTTTGGACAGAGTAACCCTTTGGCTCCTACTCTCCACCTGCATTGCCATCACTGCCTACTAACAGGGAAACATCAGGGCAATGGATGAAAGAAAAGGTTGAGCTCATCCCTGTAGTTGTCCAAAGCAAGCCTGCCCAGTGGCGCTGCACCTCACTGCAAGTCAGAATCACCAACTTCCTATTTGCACTTTAATTTTAAAATATCCACGCTGTTCTTATTTTAGTGCGATTAAATAATGACGTGTCTGACTCACAAGTGAAATAATAGCTATTGAGTTTCAAAATACATCTCATCTGAAAAAGTCTTAAAACACCAGGGCCAAATTCAAAGTCTGTATTGATCCTTGAGTACAGTTAACATGCAAAGGAGATGCCGAGAAGTGCTAGAAAACAATTTGTTTCTAGCCTTCAGGTGTTTCTAAGAGGGCAACAGTTAAATGCTGTTTTTATTCTCATTCATGCCCTTCCTCAGTTTTCAACCAACACATTGCCGGGCTCAGAACTGACATCCACCAGGATGCTGGTCGGTATGCAAATCAGTTTAAATGCATGCACGTTCTCTAATGCACTTCTCAGGGCTAGGAGCCATCGAGTTTCGGCTTCAAGAGCCAAGGAAGTGCGAACAACTCCCCGCTTTTCAAAGCCGAGCTAGCTTTTGCTAGGAAACAGCCTAGCAGAATCCCTGCACTGGTTGATTCATTCTTCCTCCTGATTGGTTGTTCCCTTTTACCACTGACATCATCCTGTTGCTGGGTGGAAAACTTCTGAAGCACAGCGCCGGATACTGATTTCCGAGAATCATGCAGGAGACTTGGTGCTTTGCAGGGGAATCAGATTATTGAGCCAAATAGGTTTTTGAAGATTTCTTTTGCTTGTGTGGTAGAAACACTCATTTTGTGATCCCTTAAACTGTAATTTAGTAAATGCTTTGGTATGGAGTTCTCTCTGTTTTACTCTCTTCCCGCCCCACCCCCACCCCATCCCCCAGGTACAAGATAATAAGACCTTGGGGGAGGGAGGGCAAAACCAACGCAAACCCATTCTCAGCATTTCTTTCAGCAGTTATTTTTCCCCATCCTTAGACGTCCTCTCCTCCCCCACCCCCTTGTAGCTGGTTTTCTAGTTATTTTGTTTTTGCTTTTCCTAATGAGGCCAGAGCTGGTCTGTGACAATGCCTCGGTCTCTATGAAATGAATCTAAATTGTAGATTTATCCCATAATTCATCGATTCAACAGGCATTATTAAGTGCATACTATGTATACTACACACACAGTACCAGATCGACACTTCGCTAGGTGCAGGAGATAAACAAAGACAAAACGAAAAAAAAAACCGCTTCTGTCCTCATCTAATGGGGGAAACACAACTCGTAGGTAGAAAATTAAATACGTACAAAGAAATTTCCAAGGCGGAGGGTACTGGTCTAATATCAAAGGCAATTTGTTATCCTCAGAGGAGGGGGAAAGGTTGCAGAGGGAATAATGGAAGGGTGGGTTAAAGTAGGATAAGCGGATACGGTGAAAGATCAAGATGACTCCGAAGGGTTTTCAGGGAGCAGGGAATGGTAACCACAGAACGATAACCAATTTATGACGCAGATTGACAGAATCTCACCCCTCACAGTAGCAAGGGTACTGTTGGTTTAATTATCATTCCATGAGCAAGAAGTGGAAAAGGGGAGAGAGGGAGAAAGCACGTACCTAGCTAAGGCAGGGAGAATGATGAGTCCCTGGTCCTGCCGGATAGGCAAAGCAAGGTCTCCAATCCTCAGCAAGGTCAGCTCTGCTCCAGGGCTCACTTCAGTGTTGATTAAATGATGGCCCCAAAGATGAGGGATACTCTGAGTCCCTAACCTAGAGTCCACGAACGTTTTTTTTTCAGTGTATTTTGATAAATGCATAGCTATATAATCTGTTTTCTTTGTAATCCTACGTGTTTTATGCCTTTTAAAAACATTATTCTGAGAAAAGATCCATAGGTTTCATCAGACTGTCAAATGTGTCTATGCCACAAAAGAAGGTTAAGAACCCCTGCTCTGAAGGATCCTTGCTTTTAGACTGGTGATTAGGTTTGGATGAAGGGCAGCAGAGCAGATCAAGAGTGCCTGCTTCCGACAGATGGTCAAGGCAGGGGCGGGTAGAATCCTGGGGCCTGTCTGCTTATAGGAAGGAAAAGCTTGTTTGTGCTGCTTGACCTCCAATTACCAATTATCTGCCCTAGGGCTTATTCTAATGTTCAATAAATTATCTTCCCCAAGGATGGGAAAAACTAGGAAAAATCTTCTGGACCCTTCTATAGAGGAATTCAGAATAAGTCACTGGCCCCTTTATCCTCACAGCACATTCTGTGAGACAGAAGTAGCGTTGAGGAAACTGAGGTAGCATGGAATGATCCAATGTCTTACATGGTCCCCACAACAAGTCTGTAGCAAAACTAGTCACAGGGGTTGGCTATCTTGATTCTCTTCTACCCAGTTCCATTTTCCCCAAACAATTGGCTAACTTAAAAAGAAAAATGTTCAAATGTTCATTTGCAGTAGAAATGTTCCCAGAAACAAGTTTATCTAGGCTTTCAAATGCATCTTGCTGTTCTGTGCAGCTTTGGTTGGAAAAAGACCTAACAATTTAGATGCACATTTGCATATTACATAAGTGTTCTATAAAAGGGGCAAGATTTTCTAGGAGCTGTTTTATTTTAATTTTAATGGGAAAAAAACTATCAAAAATAGCAGCTAGGAACCAGCTTGGTAACTTAACTTTAGAAAACAGAAACACTTCACTGGTGACACCAAAGGCTCATAATAAAAATGGGGAGATCTAGTCATTCCCCTGCCTTCACTTGGCTTAGCCCATCTTTCTCTTTCTTGGCATCCACTTCTCTAAACTACTTCTTCCTTCTAAAAGATGGTTGGAATATTCCAGAACCCTTAGGTCATTTCTACTTAAGACGTAAAGAACTGGATCCATGAATTTTCTCTGAGGACCTCACCAGATTTTGTGTGATTCAGATAAGAAAAACCCCTACTCCAACACTTGGGCTTTAAAAAAAAATCTCAGGAGTGTTTTTGCATGACTGTACATGTATAATCTATATCAAATTGCTTGCCTTCTCAAGAAATAGAGAGAGGAGGGAGGAAAGAAAAGAATTTGGAACTCAAAAATAAATTTGTACATGTTAAGCATTTTGGTTTTTGGGTAATTAAAAAATTAAATTCAGGTAATTAAAAATTAAATATTAAATTTAAAAATTAAATTAAAAAAGAACAAATGAATGCTTTTTTTAAAACTATCAGGAGCAGATTTTTTCTTTTAATTCAATTCACCATACTATATAAAACCTATTATGGGAATACAAAGACAAAAATTAAATAATCACTGCTTACACAGGATGAGGGGAGGCAGGAGAGAATTCAACGTGTACACAAGTAAATAAATACAAAGTCTATGTAAAGTTATACAAAGTAGTTTAGAGACTAAGAGAACGCTAATAGTCTGGTTGGGGGAGGGATCATGAAAGGTCTTTATGTTCCAGGCAGCACCTGAGCTGTGCTTGATTCTAAGGGGCAGAGGTAAAGGAGTATATTCAAGGGATGAGGGACAACTCTATGTCTTGGTACAGAGGAACAGAAGTGGGGGTGGAATATAGAATATCCTGCAGGGAGAACAATTAGAAGGCCAGTTTGACTGGGATGGAGAATGAATGAACCAACCAAATCTACAACCATTTGCTAAGCATCTACTACAGACAAAACAACTTGGTACAGACATAAAGGAAACAGACCCTGCCCTCAAGGAGCTTACATCTATAGGGGAAGCAATATAAACATATATGAATAAATACAAAATGTGCACAAAGTAAATTCAAGTTATTGTGGAGAACCCTATCAGTTCTTTGGCCACAAGGGTAGTCAAGAAAAGCGTTGTGCAGAGGGGGCCCCAGGGCTGAGCTTTGGAAGAAGGTAGTACATTACAGACATCAGGGAAGGGCAGTCGTGTGCAATGACTACAAAGACTGATGGGAGCCAGGGCTTTAAGTGTTAGGCTAAAGGGTTTGTATTTTATCTGAGAGGCAATAGGAAGCCATTGACGTTTTTGAGTGGGGGGAGAGAGGGTGATTTGGTCGGATCAGTTTCAATAATACCAATTTGACAGCTAATATTTGTTTGCCTAAAGACCACCCATAATTCTCTCTCTCTCTCTCCTCTCTCTCTCTCTCTCTCTCTCTCTCTCTCTCTCTCTCTCTCTCTCTCTCTCTCTCTCTCTCTCTCTCTCTCTCTCACACACACACACACACACACACCCCCCACAAAGTATTCATTTTTGGCAAAGGCTCTTTGTTTATAGGTTGTAAATACACAACCTAAGTAAATTTTGCCTTTAAATATCTCACATCTTCACTTCTCTCTGCCTGTAAAGAAATGATCATAAGAATGACTTACATTTATATAACACTTTATAATTAGAAAGCATTTTATGTGCCTTATCTCATGAGATCCTCATAACAACACTGGTGAGGTAAGTTTGAGCCAACCCCCTGATTTTTCTCTTCCTTTGATACTCTGAAATAAGAGATAAGTTGGCAGGCATGAAAAATATCATATCAGGCTGGGGAATTATTGGAATGTCATTTCTAACAAACTAAGGGAGTTATTAGTAGAATACTAGTAGTAGTTACAGTGATTATAAAAAAAATTATCTCTGTTCTACTTCCCACTTTGCTTCCAAGGAGCTTCTTCTTCACATGTTCACAATTCATTTGGTTTTACTCTATCTCTAGGAAGCAGGCAGGGCTTCTGATTCCTATTAAATAGATTGTGGGGATTTCTCCCTCCCCCCACATGATCCTCATTGCTCAGCAAATAATTACTCTGGAGAAGAGGCCCTGTAAGCCTTGCATACTACAATGGTCTGTGTCAGAGGCAGGGGAGCAGAAACTTCAGAGTCTATACCAATCAGGGAGCATGTGTCAAGCTACTACTATTTTCTCAGAAAATCACCTCAGACATTGGAGAATAGAAAAATGTCTAAGACATGGTTCCTACCTTTAAGAAGCTTACCATCACAAACAAATTTAGAGAACAGTTTAATTCTGCAAACATATTAAGTGCCTATTAAAAGGGGTTTACTGGTAAATGTTTAACAACTGGCCAAACATTTAAAATATATATATGTATTCTAGATACACTTTTTAAGTTTAACCAACATTATTAGCATTTTCTCCATCACTTTCTTAAGTCTAGAAATCAACAAAGCAATAAATCAAACCCTGATTGGTAGTTTTCAGATTCCTGAAGTGTAAATGCTCACATTGAATATTTAACAATCAATTCTCAAGAGCCAGTATGAGCCAGCTCCAGCACAGCACAAAAGCTGCTATTTTGTGTACAGCAATGTAGTAGAATTAGGTGCTGGAGAGATGGAGGAAAAAAAGGAAACCATTTCCTGCCCTCCAGGAGTTTACATTTTCTTGCAGGACACAAACCACTTCCTTTCATACTTTGTATATCCTAGCTAAACTGAATTATTGTAACACTATCTTATCCTGTCCTCTCCCAACTCTAGGCCTCCCTGCATGCTGTCCTGCTTGCCTGGTATAGTTTCCTCCCACATCTCCAACTAATGAAAATCTTTCTTCCTTCAAGTCCCTAAGCCTTCAAGGTGCTACCTCCTCCACAAAGACTTTCCCAGTCTCTTAGCTACAATTTAATTCCATTTAATTCAACAAATACTGTTAAGTGCCTTTTCTGTACAAGGCATCTCTCTCTCCCCCTTGTTATGCAATCTCATATTATTTGGATTGTATCTATGTACTCATAGTATTATAATTTGTATTATATTTACCTGTTTGTCCTTTTTGTACTAGACTATAAGCTTCTGAAGGTCAGGGGCTGCATCTGGTTTCATCTTTGTCAACTCAGTGCCACTCATACTCCATTACACATAGAAGATATTTAATTAGTATTTTCCTAATTAAATTGAAAGCAGTACTTTATGACTAAATCAATTAACAAGCATTTATTGAAGGTCTATTTTGTGTCAGGAACCAAACCATGCAAAGATAAAAATTTAGCAGTCCCTCCCCTCAAGGAGCTTACTTTGCCTGTCACATGGTGCTTAATAAAAAATTCATCTCTCTCTCTCTCTTTCTCTCTCTCTCCTTTTCTGCTCCCCCCATCTATCTAAGTAGGGAGACATGTCTTCATATTACAATTGGCAAAATGTATATATTTACCAAATAAACACGTAATACAAGGTTATGGTAGCACTAGCAGCTGGGAGCGATCAACAGAAACTTCATATAGAAGGCAGTGCTTGAGCTGAGCTTTGAAGGAAACTAGGGATTCTAAGAAATAGCAGTAAAGAGATGTATCAGCCTTGTACATCACTTCCCTTCATGTATTTTTCAGTACAATTAATCTTGTTCCTCACACAGAGTACTCCATCTTCCAAGGACATGGAGATGGAAAAGATGACTGGAACCTTGTTGAAAAGGGCATTGGACACCAAACAGATGATTTCACCCTAGAGGTAGTAGGGAGCTGACAGAGTTTGTTGAGCAGGAGGATGACCGGTCAGATCTGCGCTTTAAGAAAATGACTTTGGATGCTGTGAGGAGGATGGATTGGGGAGGGGAGGTGCCTGGCATAGTGAGACCAAGGAAACTATTGCAACAGTCTAGGCAAAAGGTGATCAATGACTGATGTAGGGCAATGGCTATGTCAGCAAAGAGAAGGAGACAGATGTGAGAGCTGTCATGGAGGTAGAAATTACAGACTTGGTGAGTGATTTGGTTTGGATATGAAAATCATTCTGACATTGCATTAGCCTTGAGTGCAAGGGCAGGGGGACACAAGTTGGTATGCCCAAATAGAAACTTCAGGAGGCCTGTCTACCCCTTTAGGGAAGGATCAGGATTTAAAGTAGTTTTTCATTGCATTCACTGATATGTGTCTTTATCTAACCAGCCTATCTTTGGGGGTTGAATCCAGTGAGTGAGAGTAAAGAAGAAAATGTCCAGGAAGATCGTAGTTGTTCAGCTGTGGTAGTCTTGTTTTCCTCTCCCATCTCCCTTAGTGTTGTTGTGTATCTAGTCCTGAATGATATTTGCTGTTGTTGTTCAGTTGTTTCAGTCATATCGGGCTC